CATGATATTCAGCGATGTTCCGAGCACTTCGAAAACCATCAGATAACTTCAGAACAATTCCATTAACTTAAGGAAAGTTGCAGACTTACAAGGAGTTCCGTGAAATTATGGGATATTCCGAGAATTCTATGATAGGACCGAAAACTTCAAAAGCGGAGTTATGAAAATATTTCAAAAAATTTGTTGGAATATTAAACAAATTTAGAGAACTTCAGGTGAGCACAGAAAACTTCAGGAATGTCCAGATAACATCAGGGACCGTAAATGATTTAAGGCTATGTTCCGTGAACGTGTATAAAGTTTATAAAACTTAAGAAAAATTGGGAGAACTTCAACTGGTTTCAGTAAAATTTTGAATTAAAAAAACACTAAGATATTCAGGGCAGCCTAGAGAACTTTGAGGAAATTCAGAAATCTTTTGAGCACTTTTAAAAATATCCGGAAAGTCTAAGCTTAATAGCTTAGAAGAAGTTATGAAGTTAAGGGCAGTTCCATGAACTTTAGAAAAGTCTTGAGATCTTCATGGTACTATATTAATTATTTCGTTTTGATTCCAAGAAAATTGCGGGAGTTTAACGAAAAATTTTGAAAACTTAGAGATTTTCAGAAACATTTCGAGAACTTCATAGAAGTCTGTGGAACTTAAGGGAAGATCCGAGAACTCCAGGAATTTTCATGAACATTAGCAAAATGTGGGAACATTTCAAAGTTAAGTTTAGTAAGCTCCGAAAATAGGGGAGAGTTCAGTTCAATTAGTTTCAGAAAGTTAGCGGGATTTTCAGAGAACTTCAGAGGTGTTAAGAAAATTATTGACGTCTTCACATAAGTTCACGGAAGCTTAAGCATCTTTAGGACAGTTCCATTCAATTCAGGGCAGTACAACAAGCTTCATGAGAACTGCAAAATCTTAAGAGAAGGTTCGAGAACTTCAGAAATCAGCGGCGCCGGTGGTGTAGTGGTAAGCGTGATTATCTCTCACTCCAGCAGGCCTGGGTTCAATCCCAGTAGCGCCGCCAGGATGTTCTGAGGCATAACATCTCTGATCACGCCTTCCTTCGGGGAAGGGAAGTAAAGCCGTTGGTCCCCGGTTCATGAGTTGATGGGTCGATAAGTAGGGTCCAGGTGTGGGAGCTGCCTTCCTGGCGTCGGTAGCATTGGTGCTCAGCACGGAAAACAAGATCGACGGAAAACAAATCAAGGAAAAAAAAACAGAGCAGTTCCGTTATCATTAGAGAAATTGATTTAATTTTTAAAGAATTTTCGAGCACTCCAACGAATTGATAAAATTTTAGAGAACATCCATGATCGTTAGGAAGCTTTTAGAAGTCCTAAAAATTCCAGGTAAGTTAAAACTTTGATGAGAATTATTGAGGGCATCAGAGTACTTTCTCAAACTGGAACAACTGGACATTTTTTGGAACTTTCAACTAGTTACATGTTCAGCGGAGATTTCTCGTAAAAATTCGCTAGTAGTTCTCATCAGCATTCGCTTTGTATTCTTACATGGAATTATTCTGAAAATTCACTTGCCATACAATTCATTTTGCATATCTTCTCACAAATTTCTTTAGATTTCCCCCATAGTTGGTTGTCCTGGAATGGAATTTTTTTCCTAATTCCTTTGATGATCTCCTGGAGTTTTTCTCAGATTTTATTGTAATGCTAAACCCCGTCATCTTCTAAGTGTTCTGAAAAAAATTTCCAAGGACTCCGGATGCATTTTCTCCCACAAACTTCATGGAATTATTGCTTCCTATCCTTAGGACGTCAATTCAGCTTATCGTTTACCAAAACGAACCCTGCTGCAAACCCTACCCTTTCTCACAGCACTTCCTTGAAGGTGATCTTAGAGGACATATGAGCATCCTAAAAATGTTCAATATTGATTCTATTGTGTTACGAAATGCGGATTGGCTGAAGAAAAAATATCACTTCGATCGTCTTTACAATGTAGCAGATGCGGATCGCGATTTGTGGGACAATGGGGGACCAAACATTCGTCGAGGATCAATTGTCTTTTATACAGACGGCTCTAGATTGGATAATCGTAACAGGTCCAGGTATAAATATCTCAATATCTATGGGCTACTGGCCTACCGTGTTCCAAGCAGAAGTCCAAGCAATTCTTGAATGTTCTAAAATTTGCTTGCGTAGAAATTATAGACATTCGAATATCTGCACCACTAAATGCTCTGAAATCAGCAACATGTAATTCTAAACTTGTATGGGAATGTGCAATGTCACTCAAAAAATTGGCCTGCCAAAACCAAGTGAACTTATTTTGGGTTCCTGGTCACTGTGAAATTCTAGGGAATGAGAAAGCCGACACACTAGCTAGGCTTGGATCATCTCAACAATTTATAGGACCAGAGCCATTCTGTGGAGTTTCTGCTTGCTCTCTTAGAATAGAGTTCGATAAATAGGAAAAAATGAAAGTGGAGACCAATTGAAACAACACTCTCATTGCTAGGCAGTCGAAACGGTTTATTAATCTGAGCATTTCAATGACTAGCAAAATTCTTTTACTATCAAAGAAAGATCTCAGTATATACACTGGTTTAATAACAGGGCACTGTCCATGTAAATATCACTTGAAGCTAATAGTAAAACTTCAAGATGACATGTGTCGATTATGTGGCATAGAAAAAGAAGACTCTGAACACCTGCTATGCTCTTGTACAACAATCTTCAAGAAGAGGCGTATTTTTCTGGATAAGGGGCTGACAGAACCCTTTGTTATTTGGAATTTAGTTCCCAGCCAAGTAGTGCAATTCATTCGAAATGTAATACCTGACTGGGAAAATGCTTTTGGCCAGTCTATGTAGGTCGCTTCATAAAATGGTGTTACGACATGCTGATAAAGCAATATTAAAACGGGGAATATATCACAATAGATCTAAGTACTGGTCGCAGTGATCAAAATACCCAACAAGGAACAAAAAAACCCTACCCTCTTATCCAACATCCCAGTGATTCCTCGTGGAAGTGCAGAGGATATCTCGGCTTCCATCAAAGCGAGTGTCACGTCAACACATTCCTACCCATTCCTTTCTTGACCTGCGTTCGGGCGCGGCCGGCGCTGGTATTACCTAGTTTGAGATCACTAGTTTTTACACATTGAGGATGATTGCTAGTCCCAAGCATCGTCTATTGGTTCTCTGTGTAGTTACAGCTGATCTGATAATAACAGAGTAGCAACCGTGGGCGGTCAATCATGCTCATGCTCATGCTCATGCTCATGCACAAACTTCATGAAATTATCCTCAGAATGCCCTTGGAATTTTCCTCTGAAGTTCACTGCTTCTCAGAAATTCCTATGGGTTCCCAATAATCCTACTCATAACTTCAACCTTAAACTCCTCAGAACTACCTTGAAAGCAGATTGCACTTGATGTTTTTTATCGAGGATTTTCTTCTCAGAACTTCCTTGGAATGAGATCTTAATAAAATTCCATGAGCCTTTAAACTGTGCAAGGAATTCGACTGTAGATTATTGAAATTTTGCTTTCCTCTGTTCTAGACATACAACCTCTACGACCATCAATTTGATCTATTGTAGTATATCCAGTGTCCTTAGTTTAGTGCATGTCGTATTACTCCATCACTATTAAGAAATGATGAAGTACTTGGTTTAGATACAGTTGTCATGCTTGCCTTCATCGCAAGGAATCGATTCTAATTTATACCTATTTATGCCCTTCGAAGAGTGAGAGCACCCTCCAAAGGTCGGTCAAAATTGGATTCCTTAGCGACAAAATTAAGCAATGACACCGACAATGACCATGCATCAGAACCCTTGTCTTAACCACTTCCAACTAGGGAACAACGAATGGAATGGTTATGGAATGGTAACTCATTTTTCCCTTGTTTCAAGATCATCCTCGGTAGACAAAGCCGAGTCTTGTCACTATCAACAAGGCATAACAAGTAACAAGGACTTAGATGTGTTCCAGGACTAGGAATCGGTGGTAGATCTACCCACGCTACGGGGCAACTTCACCATTAATAGGAATAGGAATAGAATAGGAATGGAATAGTCTTTTGAGGTTTTTTTAAAATAAATTGTGAGTTTTCAAAAGGGTTCGGACCTCGGGTGTAATTCCCGAACATTATTTTCAAAAGTGTTGTTCCTCAGGGCAGACAATTGCTCTTGAAGTTGTTTTTGCAAATCCCGCCAGATAAATTTCATGTCCGGATAGCGTGTTCTTTGATATTGCCTTCTACGGACATTTTTTCAGACGGATCAAGAGCTGAAGATCGTCGACTATTATAATTGAATTGAATTTAACCTCACATTTTAGTACTGAGGAAACTTGCTACAACTATAGAAGAAGTCAGAGATTCAAGGGCATAATTAACATCGTTTTTGGTTTGCAAAGTAATATTTGGATCAACAACATTCAACAACATTTGAATACAACATTCCATAAATGCTCCATATTGCTCCCAATCAGCTCTATGGTAATTTAAAGTAGAGCTGTTGGGATTAGAAATTATTTGATCAGAACCGAAGTCAGAATGGGCAACCAATTGGCTACCAAGTTTACATGAAGCAGTTAAAACCAAATCAATAGTTGAAGGATTTCTTGCTGAAGAATAGCATGTTGGAATATTTGGATATTTAAAATTGTAATAGTGTAATAACCATTGGAATTGCTTGAAAAACACTCAGTTAATGCGTAGTTGCCCACACTACATTTCCCTGCACGTATGATTTTTAAAGTTTGTTTCAGAAGCTTCTAATGAAAACATCTTTTAGAACCTTAACCGTCGCTACGTCCACCGTAAACTGTCCGCGTGACTTGTGAATAGCCCCACAGCAGTTTCCAATGAACGCCATCGGTGACATCATTTGCAACTAATAAAAATTCCGCTACATATGAACAGCATTACGAGTGTTTCGCTTATTTTTGACTAATATTCAAAAAATACTATAGCGTCTTTCGTTTATTAGCAATATTACTTACAAAATCCCCCTTCTTCCATTCATTTTTTTCCAGATCCCACCTCAAACAATTCCACAGTGTGTGCTGCCAAACTCAGTGAAGTAATCGATGGAGAAAGCAAACGCGCCAATCTTTATCAATCAACCTATTCCCAGTGTGCGTACGAGTGTCGATAATGGTTCGCACTTTCCCCGTCGTTGTCGTCGTCAGTGTGTTTCTTCCTCAATAAAGGTTGTAAATTAATCTAGTGCAAACAAAAATCCTTTAACCGTGCATGCAGGATAGAAGTAAAGCAATCTCAACGACATCAAAGCACAAGCAAATTAATGCACCAAAATGCCATCGTTGTCCAGTGTGTCCTCGTTCAGTGAATGTTAAATGTTTAATCCATCAATTTAAAAGTGAAGTAAGCGTGGAAAATCGAAGAATCTCCCGAGCTATCGAATCATATAAAGTGAAGCTAAATTTTAATAAGCAAGTATCAACCCATCAAACCCAGTGTTCGGTAAAAAGGAAAATTCCTGTCAGTGTAAGCGTACGCCACGTGTCATCCTGAAGAATATAAGGGAAACGAAGTGCAATAAATTTGTGAGTTAACAATCGGAAAATTACAACGACTGCCATTTTTATTTTTTTCGAACGTGTGTCGTTCGTTGCTGTGTTTGTCGATACAACCGTACTACGCCCAAAAATGGTCACAAATTAGGGTGCCAGTTCTTTCTAATTGATATTATAACGGTTTTTACGACGGTTCGAGGAGAAAGTGAAAAATAAGAAATACAAACAAAACCAAACCATCGTCCGGGCAGAATAAGCCTGCCGGGGAAAACAAAGGAGCTGCTTTTCGGTGAAAATTGTTTCGACTGCCTACGTCGCCGAACGTTTGCTGGGTGGAAAAATTTGCCGGATCGGAAATTGAAGGTGAGTAAAGTGCGTGCGCTATTGGTTTTTCAGGAAATTTTACCCCACTTTTATCTCGTTTCTATTTTTATTTCCTTTTGAATCTCAGTCCTTCCCTTGGAATTCTACGCACATTGAAAGTCTCCTAAGAATTCGATTGCATTTCTCCTCTTAAATTCCTTAGAGTTATCCTCATAATTTGTTTGAAAAACTTTCCTGGAACTCTTTTCCGAGTTCCTTTGAGGATCTCGTGGAGTTATTTTCAGATTTAATTGTAATCCTGCTCTTAGCATCTCTGCTGTCAGTATTCTCCAAAAAATCCCAAGGACTTATGCTTCGCATTTGTTTTCTCGCACAAACTTCATGAAATTATCCTCAGAATGCCCTTGGAATTTTCCTTTGAATTTCGTAGGAGTTCCTCAGAAATTCCTATCAGTTTTCATTAAAACTTACTATGAGCACAATTCAGGGATTTCTTGAAATTATAATCAAAACTATCTAAAGCTTCACATGAAATCATAATTTCTTCATAACTACCTTAAAAACAGATTGCACTTGATGTTTTTCTCGAAGATTTTTTTAACAGTATTCCCTTGGAATGAGGTCCTTAGAAATTATAATAAAATTTTATGAGCCTTTAAAACTGTGCAGATTATTGAAACTGTCTTGAAAATTTATAGCTTTTGAGTAAAAATTTTCAAAAACTTGTTCAAATTTTAAATTTGTGGGAAATATTAATATTCCAGAACAAAAAAAAACCTTTCAAGAGAGAAAGAAGGATTAGTAATTTCCTTTTAATCCCACGACCTTATTTACTTGTCCTTTTCAGACAGATATTTCAAGCCTTTGAATGTTTCAAATTTATTTGTTACTGAAGGTTAATCCACTCTGCTGGATCTATATAATTCAATGCGTGAATGAAAATAAAATGTTTGTATTTTAAAATGTATTATTTTCTGTAAAATATCTAAGAAAGTTATTAAATTCCATAAGCAATGATGAGATTCCCTGAGACTTCCAGATATTTTCAGGAAAAATAAAATTCCCTGAGGATTCCTCATTTTTCAGTTTTTCTTTTTGACGTTGGACTACGTCCTTAATTTCTATACTGGGGGTTACATTAAAAAAAATACCAGAATTCAGATACGTAACGAAAAATCCCAAACACGGACGTAACGATAGAGCGCAAATCTAACACACGAGACATTGCGCATGCTCACATGAGCGAGCTCACCGCTGGGTTGAGTGCTCACTATCTAACCAATGAATGGAAGGGAGGAGAAAAGCAGCTGTAATAAAAACGCTTGACAATTACTTTTGAGCAACGGACGGATAAGCGTCGGACACGGCTTATGAATGGAACAGCACGCATCGCATCAATACGAAGACAACGATGAATACACCCACATCGACCGGAGGAAAGGCTTCCCGCAATTAATCATGTTACCATGCTTCTGCATTAACTTTCCTTCAGATGTCACTGCTGTTCATTTTTTCAGAAATTACGGACACGTGTAGTTCCATTAATTGTTATCAGAGAGCAGTGTGGTCAAAACATCTCTGGTACCTCTATTTATGCAGTTAGATTAAAATTCGAAGTCATTCCTTTTTAACATATTCTGCACAAAAATACATCCGAAGTCCCTCCAGTTTTACATATTCTGCACAAAAATTAAATATACAGCCCGACCCCTGACAGGATTTCCCGGCAGAAAGTATCTTTTGTGCAAAATATGTAAAAATGAGGGACTAAGGTTGCTAATCTAAATGCATATATATGTACCCAGACATGTTTTGCAGTGTCAGGTACTCTATTTTGTAGTCTGTGAGAGGGAAATTATAAATAGAGTGTCGTCAAAATACATGACATGTTGAGAGATTGAGCTCGTGGGAGTGAATTTTCTCTCTCAAATTTGAGGACTGGTAGTGAAGCGGGTAAAACTAGTGAACGACAAATTCCATGAATGATTTCTTTAGGCTGTCACTATCTATGCATCTAAAGCGAATTATTCCCGCATCTCTCAATTTCTATATGGAGATTTTTATTACTTCCTACCAGCGGAACAGCGCCATCTCTGTGGGAAATGGCCGGTCGATATGATTAGTAGGTAGCATGACTGGGCCGCCGTCATCCGGTTGGCATCGACTTGTCCTGATGTGAAAGAGTCAAGTAGTGCTAGTCGTTCTTTCACAACAATCCAATTCAATGCTGGTCGGAGAGTACGTCTTGGTCTGGTGTGAATGCTGCCATATACTTGCACCTAGGAACGCTCTGACGAAAAATACTCCAAAAGGGGGGACCTAATTAGCTATTCTACAATTATAAAAAAAACTGTAATTCCACGAACGTGATCAGCTGCAATTCCATTAGCTGTGGGGACAGTCGTCACAACTAACTTGAAAGACCCAGAAAGTGGACGCGGACATCGGAAGGAGAAGCATTACCAACGGCAACGACATCTTTCGAACGTTACACAGCTGAGTTTGACTACAATGATCAAATTCGTAATGCTGCTGCCAGGAAAGCCAACTGAGCATGCTGTCTCTGAAGATATCTAAGTACACCAGTTTGTTCGCTTCGATCCAAAAGGGCAGTTTCATTTGCGACGGAGATGGTCACCACAAATTCGGTAGGACCCTGAAGGACGCGGACATCGGAGGCTCTCTGAGTAGCTTCACCATCTTTGGGACGTTCTACTGCAGTCGATCCGTTAGGCTGACTACAACATTGATCACCAGCAAAATTTCAACCGCTGTGGTGGTCTTTTCAGGGTTTCTACGCTATAGAAATTCTTTTAAGATCTCTAGATGGTGGGTAAAACAGGTTCACAAAATTGAAATATTTTTGAACCATGGAAAAAATAACAGCTAAGCATCATCAATCAGTCCCAATAGCAGGGCTGGTAGCGAGTCTTTTTTTAGTGACTTTGTCACTTTTTCAAGCCAATTACTAAAAAGTCTATTTTTTTAAGGCCAAGTCACTAAAGTCACTTTTTCTTGTAATCACTATTTTCAACTTTTTTAGCGTGAATTTATTTCAAGATTGATCATTCTTTGCTTTGTGGCGTTGAATCGTCTTTCTCTATCTACAGGGTGTCGACTCATTTTTCTAAATAAAATTACCTAAGTTTTCCAAGTTTTTTCAGTACTTTAACGGATAAATTCCAGTTTTACAATATAAAAGCTATTTTTAAATGCGTTAAAAATATGCTTTTTTGTGGCTCAAAAACAACAGCAATTTACCCAAACGTTTTTAAGACATGGAAATCAGTTTTAAAGAAACAGCTTTATAATCAAATCCATTTAATTTTGAAGTTTAACACTTACTTAATTTCTCACTTAATAAAGTTTCAAAGCTTACTTAATTTGAGTAAGTCCAAGCTGAAAATACGGGGAACTTACTGGAAGCTTTGATAACCTCAAAGCGGTTCTTTTAGCATCTGAAAATTTTCGAGAACTTTTATGAAGTTCCTAGAATTTCAGAGAACTTCACAGGTGTCAAGCGAATTTGAAAAATATAGAAAACATGAGGGGTATTATGCAAATTTTTAAGAAGTTCTAAGTACCTCAGAAAAGCTAGATCTAGAGATTTTCGGGGAATTTCAGGTCTTAATAGCAGTTTCCGTAGCTTTAGTCCAGACTTTTGAAGCAGTTTAAAGATCGATAAATTTGGAAAAATTCAGGATAGTTCTATGATGTGCTGAAAAAAAATCGAGACCCTTAAGATGTTCCGAGAATTTCAGGGAAGTACAGAGCCCTTCAGAGAATTTATGAAAACTTTAAAAAAAATTAGGAAATTTCACAAAAGTCCAGAGAGTTTAAGGGAAATTTAAAGGTGTTTACGGAAATTCCATTAATTTCCGAGCAGCAGAACCGAGATTTTAATATAATTGAGAGCTTGAGGGAAGCTTCGAGAACATCAAGACAGATTAGAGAATCAAAGGGCAGTTCAAATAACTTCAAGGAACCTTAAACAAGTTGCGAGAAACTCAAGGAATTTCCGGAAACTTCAGCAAAGCTCCGAGAGACTTTCTGGAACGTGATAAAAATTATATGAACATCCGGAAATTGTGAGAGTATTTTAAGCGTGTTATATCATGGAAATTTCAAGAACTTAAAAAAACGCGAAAAATTAGCTAAATTGATTGGAGAAAATTAACGCATGGGTAATTAAAAAAATGCGAGAACTTTTAGCAAGCAGTGGTATTTTCAAGAAATTCCAGAGAACTTCTAATCAATTTAGACACTTTTAGATAGTTTCATGATATTCAGCAAGGTTCCGAGTACTTCAAGGACGATCAGATAGCATCAGAATAATCCCATTAATTTAAGCAAATTTGCAGAGACTTACAAGGAGTTCCGTGGAATGATGGGGTATTCCATGAATTCTATGATTGATCCGAAAACGTCAGAAGCGCCAGGAAATTATGAATAGATATCAGCAAATTTGCCGGGCTACTAAAAAATTTTTGAGAACTTCAGGTAACCATATATAAGTTTAGGGAAAATTAGTGAGCGTTTATAATGGTTATAATACTTAAGGTAAATTGTAGAAACTTAAAGGCAGACTATTTAATTTCAGTAAAGTTGCGGATTCTTAAAAAAAATACTGAAAATTCAGGGCAGTCTACAGAACTTTAAAGAAATTCAATAATGGTTTGGGCAGGAAAGTCTAGACTATTGAAGAAGTTTTAATGTAGTGTCGATAATTTAAGGGATGTTTCATGAACTTCAAAAAAATCTTGAGAGCTTCAGTGAAAATTATAGAATTATATTAATTATTTCGTTTTAATTCCATGAACATTGCGGGAGCATAAAAGTTCCAGAAATTTAGAAAAACTTCGAAAAATTCACAAAAGTTTCAGAATTTGATGAGAAGTATTGTGAACATCCGGCTAGTTTCTCAAACTACAAAAGAACTTCAAAACTTCCATTGGAATTCTACTCACATTGTAAGTCTCCTAAGAATTCATTGGCTTTTTTCCTCACAAATTCCTTAGATTTCTGCTCATAATTTGTTT